ACTCTTATTATTCAATTGGAAACCACACACAAAAGAGGTTCCAATCAGATTATAAATTGTTAACATGATTACATTAGTTATCTTAACAATAAATCAAGTTCCTTTCATAGCTTAGGTGTCGGTTATACCATACAGTTTGGGTTATGAAAGTGTCGTGCATTTGTTGTACCAAGTGTTATATAACATAAATCTAGATTAATTATTTAACAAGTAAAGTATTAAAGAGAGAACAAGATAACAAATACAAAACATGTTAGTATCAAACATTAAAGTCCATATTATGTTTATACTATACTTATTCTTACACCATTAATGTAACCTTTTCACCTTGACAAAATAAACTTAGCTAAACATAATGAAAGAAAGAAAAATAGATAAACAAAATAAGAACATAAATAAGATAAAAGTTAACTAAGTAAAGAAAAGGAATTGAAAGGCATAAACTTGCTATTAATGAAAGCAAAACGTAAGAATTACAAAAATACAAAAAGAGAAAGCAAGAACATGATCTTTATCTGGAAACCAAGATACCTAAATGCATGGCAAATGCCTTCTTTTATAAGCCAAAATTGGAAACTATTAATTTGATGACTAATTGATGAGTGGGTGGTCAACTCTTGACTTAGTGACAATCTTTATCTTCTTTTGTCTGTCTAAAATGTCATTGATAACATCAAAACTGTAACCACTTGAAAACATGAAAGTTGTAGGTAATTGTCTCAGCTTTTTAGAAGAAAAAAAAAACAGAGGTCAATTGGACTTCTATAACTCCACATATGGGCCAAACACTGAACAGTGATCGGGCTGGAAGACAGATTCGGACTTGTTTGTTGTTGCTACAATTTGGACTTCAAAATGGCGTTTTTAAATCTTAAACTACATATGAAAGTTGTAGGCCTATGTCTTACATTTCCATCCATATTAAGTAGACCTAAATCGAAGATCTATAGCTCTAGATATGATCCAATTACCGAACAGTATTTCGGTTTGGACTGCACCAATATCTCTGTTCTAAGTTTGGCCATCTCTTTGTCCTTTCAATTTCAGTTCTTAAACTCATCAATCAATCTTTTTATTTTATGTGATAGGCATGTATTTAAAATGAATATTTACCATAAATTAAAGGTATCTTATATTATTAGATATGTTATTATAAAACATGTTTTAGTTAAGAAGTTATTGATACTTTAAGTGTAAAATGATGATATAAAACCTTGATAAAAATGCACTTTTAAATACTAATCACTTAAAAGCTATGTTTTCACAAAGGTTTTTAGTAAATCAAAGTTATTAGTATAAATATAGAAGTCAAATTAGTGTTTGTTTTTAACAAATGAGTTTTAGGAATTCAATCGATCTCCAAATAAGATGACCAAACACTTAAAAACCTAAAAAAAATACCACATGATACAAAATAACTTTAAAGCTAAGTTTTAGTTGAATGAATAATAATTTATAATTATTATGAGAAATCATTTTGCATGTCTAAATAAACAACAATGAAGGAAAGTAGAGCTTATTAATCCTACACGCATGTGTTTGAAATGAGAAAACATTATCTTTAACAATCCTTTCACAACATTCAAACATATCCTTTGCATTCCCTATATGAGCTTAGTATTTTTTTTCTATGAAAATTAACCCTGACACCTCATACTAGGGGCAAGTATAAGGACTAGAAAAGCAATCTAGGTGTAAGGATATACAAAAATGCCTAAACAAAGATGGTGGCATAAAGAAATTCAAAAATTTTGAGCATGACACATGAAATAACGAATGTGATAATGATGCTCCGAATTTCTCTCAAAATTTCTATCAAATTTATCTTATATCACATATCAAAATAAGGACTTGAGAAGATTTAAGAGTAATGCGATTAGAGGAGAGTAGATATAAAAGTAAAAAAGTCTTAAAATATTATATATGAAAAAACATGTTCGTCATATAAAGATAGGTGAATCAATTAACCCTAATAAATATTTCTACCTCTCATCATTTTTAGGGTTTAGAGTTTCCACATTGAGTATTTGAGTTTTAGTCTATCATATAACTTTTCTATTTGAATTGGTACGTTGAATTCTATTTTTGAAGCCTTCATTAAAACAATGCCACAAATTTCAATCATATCATAGCTTTAAAAGCACATAAAACATGTTGATTAAAAAAGAAATAAAAATTTTATATATCTTAGATTCTTAAATCACCAATAATAGCTTGAGTTTGCAAGAGATAAGGTTACTAGTAAATTCGTATTAATAAAACAGGGTAAGAATCAGAGATTCTAATTCTAAAAAGAAAAATAAGACCAATAAGAGTTTGATATCCTTATACAGTACAATGATTAGTTTTAGTGAATTGTATATGCTATCATGATCATACTAGATTTTTCCATTGTAAATTGAGATAAAAAGAAAAAAAATAGGGGCAAAGAACAAAATGATGGGTTATTTTTTTATTATTATTATGAATTTTAGTAGATTCATTATATTTTGTGTGTGAACATTTTATAATTATATTAAAGGATGTTAGCATTTAGATATATTGTTAAACCTCTCATATTTAACTATTCACCTTATCATTCATAGCCATTTTTCTCCTTCTAGTAAGTTATGTTCACATGATTTTATATGTCGGGATTTATTTTTATTTGCATGTTCTCACATACTTGATGTGTCATAGAATATTATGATATTAAATTGGAAGTGTCACATAATATTTTTATATTAAATTGGAAATTGATTTTATAAAATACAATTTTAGGTTATTGCTTAATAAAAAATGAAAATACCGGGATCAAAATTAATTAAAAAAAAACAAAACTCTTTTTTCAAAAAGTGCGAGAAACTTCAATTATATCTCCCAAGTTTCAGATTATGCATATTTGATTCTTATTTTTTAAGGTTTTTAGATTTCAATCCTTGAACATTGAGGGAGGAGAGAGAAAATATTTAGCCAACGACAGAAAAATCAAACTTAATGTCAATGAGTTGGCCTTAGATAAAAGAGTTCAATGGAGGTGATGTTACCTTTAAAAATGTTGGAAAAGGTAGATCAAGATTTGTGAATTTTGTTTTGATTCAATTTGATTTTAGGTTTTAAATTGATTAGAAAGTGTTTTAGCATTAGAAATGACTTTATTGAGGTTTCTATAATGATTTTAAGGTGTTTTTATATTTCAGTCCTTCAATATTAAGGGATGAGAGAGAAGCTTGATGGAAAAGGAAGAGAAGAGGAAAAATATTTGACTAATGACAAAAAAAATTAAACTTGATGTCAATGAGTTGTTCTCAAAGAGAAGAGTTCAATGAAAGTGGTTTTACCTTTAAACATGTTGGAAAAGGATAGATTGATATTTATAAATTTCATTTTAATTCAGTTTGATTTTGAACTAATTAGAGAGTGTTTTAGGGTTGAAAATGATTTTATTGAAATTTCTATGATGATTTTGAGATGTTTTTAGATAAAAAAAAGTTGAAAATAGTTTTTTGGAATCCTAAAACTTGGATCTTGATTTCTAATAATCAAAATTGATTGAATAATGCTCTAGATAGAAGTGCTATCTATTAAAATAAAAATAAAAAAAGTATTAAAATAGACAATGTATCATATATTTTTTTTCTAGAAAAGTAAAATCAGACTTAGATATGTGTGGAATTTTTCATTTTTGACCAGTGGTGCAGGCCTACTTTTTATTTTTTTATTTTAATTATTTTTTATTTTAATTTTAATTTTAATTAATACCCTCTCTCACATATTTATTTTAAAATTTTTAGATTATTTTTTATAGAAATTAATCTTTTGATTTTTTTATAATTTTATAACATTTCAAAAAGATTATTGTAATTTGTCTTTAATTTTTCTGTTTTAAATTTTAGATAAATAAGTTCTATTTGCATGAAGCATTTTAAAAATGATAATTATTTGTATGTACATATTAAAATTAACCTTTAAGATAAATAAATTAAAATGTATATAAAAAAAGAAGATAAATGAAGTAAAACATTTGCATGTTGCTTTTGCTTCTTAAAGAAGATCAATTTTCTTTTTAGTGTGTAATTAGCTTTAACAACTTATTTATTTATTTATTACTTCATATATTTTTCAATTTACTTTATTAAGTATAGATGTCATCTTTTCATTTCATATTTTAAAAATTATAATGCTAAAAAAACATATCTATAATGCTAGTGGCTTATTTTTTTACTATAAAATATAAATAGTGATTCTTATGTGTATGTAAAATTTTAATATAATACATTAAAATAATTTTTTTAACATTTATTTAGAAAATATTTATGAGGTATTTATATCATTAAAAAGTCTTACAATTTCATACCATATAATAAATAATTATTACTTTAGTTATAAAGCTAACTTAAAAACTAATTAGGAAAAGGACTAGGTTGTTAGGTTAGTGGATTAATCAATAAATTATTGAAAATAATTCAAATCAATCTAAATTAATTAATTTTATTAAAATGATAATATTGTGTTTTATTACAATACTTAACCAAGTTTGTTTATTTCAATTAAATTATTAAAAGATTTGATTGGATCAAGTAGGTTTGACATCCAAACTAGGTTAGTTTCTTTATCTTGATTTTCCAGCTTAATTGGTTAGTTCGAGTGAAATTTAATAACTATGATTATTGATTCATTTTAATGAAATTATTTGTTTTAAGATACAATTGAGAATAAAGTGAAAGAATAAAGACTACATTGAATGTTTCCTCATCTATTGTTAAACGCCAAGGCTTCACTTTCAAGCGTAAGTTTGGTATTGTGTTTCGAATAAGAGGATTGAACAAATTTTAATTTTTTCTTATTTAAAAGTAATATTTTATTTTTTAAAATTGTTTGAATATATTAATATAAAAATTAAATTTTAAAAAATAAAAAATTACTAAAATTATTATTTTAATATATTTTAAAATAAAAAACAACATAAAAAACACACTCCCAAATCAAAATCGGAATGAATTGAATCCACAGAGGTAAATGAATGATAATTGCTCACCCTCGCATGGCTACCGCCTGTACCTTATTCTTATCTCGCCTTTCTTTCTTTCGATTCACCACTAATAAATCTTCTTCAATAAAACGAAACCCATTTTTTCTCTATTCTAAAACTACTAAGGTTTAGTTACGACCACTGCCAGCTAAAAGAAACACAAATCATTTCCGTTCTTTTTTTTTTAGTGGATTTTGTCTTAATTTCAGTTATTTAAATTGTTTGTGCAGAATCCAAATCAACCAAGACTCATTTCAATGGCATCGGAAGCGAAGGAATCAGCTTCTAACAATCCAGGTCTTCACACCTTTCCTGATGAAGCTACTAAAGGATATATCATGCAACAAACTGTAAGCCCTTTCTTTTCTTTTCTTTTCTTTTTCCTTTTCTTTTCGATTTAGAATTGATGGGGCTAGTAATTTTATTTTTTTTGATATTTTATGCAGATGTTTCGAATTAAGGATCCGAAAGTCAGTCTTGACTTCTATTCTCGTGTTTTGGGCATGTCGTAAGTTTTTTCTTTCTTTCTTTTTTCTTAATGTAAGTGGGTTTATTCTCATATATATATATATATATATATATATATATATATATATATTAATGTAAGTAAGTTTATTCTCGTTAAAACTAATTATGTTGATTTGGGATATTGTTTTTCCTTATTTTATGATTTATGATTTTTTCCCCTTAATTTTGTCTCGTGTAATTTATGTGGGTTTAGTGCTGATTTTGTTTTCGAGGAAAAAAAGAGGTTAAAGATATTGGAATTGTTTGCCATTGTTATTTAAAGCATGAAATAATGACCAAGTAAATGGTGTTAGAGATGTTTTTTGAGGGTGTTTGGCAAAGTATATGCTGTTAAAGATGTTGTTGCTTGAGGGTGTTTGACAGGTTATATGGTTTTAGAGATGTTGCTCGAGGGTGTTTGACAAAGTATATGGTGTTAAGAGTTGTTGTTGCTTGAGGGTATTTTTATTTTTGGAAGATAAGATTTTTACTTTTGCAACGAAAACCAAAAGGTGGTTTTTTTTCCCCTTCTTCTTTGGTTGAAGAGTGGCTCTTTGGTAAGATACTAAACATTGACAACTTATGACGCTGGGTTTCAAGATGGTGAATTGATGGTGTTTGTGTAAGCATGCTTTGCTTCTGTGCTACCATACCATTTTGGATATGCATATGAGTAAAAGTCTATAAAATTAAGTCATACTTGTATATAACAACTTCTTTTTAAATTTTCAATATGGATAGGTTATCCTTGGTAATAATGATATGTTCACATTTCTGGAAATCTCAGGTTGCTAAAGAGACTGGATTTTCCAGAGATGAAGTTCACCCTGTACTTTTTGGGCTATGAGGTAATTTAGATAGCAATGCATCTAAAAGAGCTAGTGTTATTTATGGGGTTGTTTGAGTGTTAATATTTTGTGAATTTCACCACATTCCTTTCCTTCTTTTGGTGCCATATATTTAGCTATAAAAAAAATCATTATGCTCTGCAGCTTTTACAGTGGACATATCTGTTTGATGTAGGATCATGCATCAGCTCCAGGCGACTCAGTTGAAAGAACAGTTTGGACTTTTGGTCGGAAGGCTACAATTGAACTAACACAGTTAGAATGATTGATGCACTTGTTTCTCTTTTTTCTTGTCTCAAAACACAATGTTTTTTTTTTCTCCTTTCTGTTTTTCCTTATTAGTGCCTTCTGTTTGATATATTTTCTGACAACTAAATGCTTCCAACAGTAATTGGGGCACTGAAAGTGATCCTGAGTTCAAATATCACAATGGAAATTCAGAACCACGTGGCTTCGGTAGGTTTGACAGATTCACCCTATGTAGCAGTATGATAATTGTACTACATGTAACTTCCATGTAATTGTGGCATATATGAAGCGGTATCATATAGTCAAGACTGATGATTTTGATATGTTGATCTCTGGAACTGTGTACCACTTGAATGCAATTTGGCTGGCAAAACTTTTGAGAAATCACTTTTATTTTGGCCACTTTAGTGATATCATTTTAAAATAGAGGCATGCATATGATTAAATATGACATGCTATTATTGTGTAATCCATTAACTGTGTCTCTGTATATATTTTCATGATACAAGACCAAATAGACTAGGGTTTGTGAGGTATGAGTTTTTCTCGAGGAAGGTATCAATGTAGTTTGGGGTCTCTGGAGCTGGTTTTTTGTGTTGTTGGTGGTTTATTAATAGGAATGGAACAGAAGCTGTTAACAAGATCTCTAGAGTTTTTTCGGTGGTGTATATGGTGTCTTTGAATCACAATGAAAAGTTGCTTTGAATCAAAATCAATAAGTTATTCTAGCAAAATGGTTCCTGTTGAATGAATATATGTTTATCAACGATGCTTTAATATATGCTTTAAAATTCCCCTTTCCTTGTGTCTCTTTTGATAAATGATTCTATCAATTTTGAGTCTTAATCAATAATCACTTCAGCTTAAAGAAATGTTCAAACTTAAATTGAAAAAGTTGAGTGAAGAGTTGGTGAAAGCACCTCAATGAACCCTTGGAAAGGAAGGGTTACTTTCTTAATCCAGGCTGTCATAAGAGTTTTTGATTGCTTCACTTAACAGTTGCATTTTTACAGAACTTGCCATAAGAGTTTTTGATTGCATTAACAGTTGGCATGGCTCAAATCAACAGTTGCATTTTTACAGTTTAGTTTCTACCTGACATCAAACAAGGGGGGGCATTAACAGTTGGCATGGCTCAAATCAACCGTCGCATTTTTACAGTTTACTTTCTTTCTACCTGACATCAAACAAGGGGGGCTAAGTCATAATGTGCTGCTCTTTCATTGAAATTTTAATCTACATAATCTCCTGTTAACTAACATATAAGAACAATTCCTTCTTTTTCTTTAGATTTATGGTAGTTTATTTGTAAAGGATGATTTTCCCAAGCAAGAAGTAACGTTGATGGTTTTTATTTGCATTTCAGGACATATTGGTGTTACTGTTGATGACACATACAAGGCATGTGAGAGATTTGAACGCCTAGGGGTGGAGTTTGTCAAAAAACCAGAGGATGGTAAGACACCTCTTTTAGATGTTAAAATAGTTTACCCTTAATTAACATGAGCATCTGATTTGCGCTTTGTAGCTGGTAGTTTATATGTAATGTAGTGATCAGGTTAAATGGCTTGCTATTTGGCTAGATAAAACTGATGTTAATTTTGGGCATGGGTTCTGTCCTATACATGGCATCAATCAATGGTTTGACCTGCAAGTTTTTCTACACATTTTTTTTAGTTTGAGATAAAAGGTAAATTTCTGGATGATGTACCCATCTGCTTCTTTTGTGCGTCGGTGCGCACTTCAAGAGGATGGGGGAAAGAAAACAGGCACATATAAATCCTGGAGCAGGATAGTTTGGGAATGTCAATTCATCACTGGTCCATGAGTGGCGAGGATTTTGTATGGATTAAGAATTAGGTTTAGATTTAGGACTTGAGAATGTTCTCAATAATCATGCTCTGGTGAGAAACTTCTAATTTAGTAAATTGAGGTGGTATATGTTTAGAGAATAAAGGAGGAGAATAGAGGGTGTGCCATGGTTTCTTAAACAGTAATATGCTAGGTGATATGATATTGTGAGAATGAAACTTTCTGCTTGAACTGAGAAATCATATTAGCTAAGTTCACGATGCCATCATCAAATTCTGTGCTACTGATTCATGGACCATAAGTATACATTGTGTCATAGAATCAATGGTACAAAGTGTGGTAATTTGCTTCAATGTTTGTGGTCAACCTATTTGACTATCTCAATGGACTTGATCATTGATGACTCTGCCCTCATCCTCTACAGTTGTCTTTATATGAATCTCTTGACTAATCCATAGTCCAAGGATGGGAATTGATATAAATTGGTTCTCTTTAATTTAAATTTAACCAGTAAGTTATATGATTTCTTGGTTGGAGTAGAACCATCTCTCAAAAGCTTACCTTTATAGTAGTAAACATAGAATGTGTTTTGGTAATCTGGCTGGAAGTGCTTTTCCAAAGTGCTTGTTGCTTGGTGCTTTTTGAAGGTCTTGACATGTTTTATTTGGTGTCTTTTCTTTTCTACCTGAAAAGGAATTCCAATGGAATTACTGAAGACACATTTATTGACATTCAACCAAATTTGGTGTCTTTTCTTTGTGCTGTGTACTTGTCTTCTATTTTCCTTATCGCAGGCCTAAAAAATTAATTGCACCAATGACTTAAGGAAAATAGTTGTTTAATTTGGGTTTATGGTGCAACAAAGGAATATATTGCCATTGGTGCATCATTTTTTTTATATTTTATAATTACTTGGCTCAAATCTGTGAGTCTGGCTGCAGGAAAAATGAAAGGGATAGCATTCATTAAGGATCCTGATGGCTATTGGATAGAAATCTTCGATCTCAAAACTATTGGAAAAATAACTGAATCTGCTGCTTGATATCATGTGAGACACTAAACAGCTTTTTTTTATTGTTTTTGTTGTTGCTATTGCTTTATTTTTATCTCTTCCATCTTTCATGGATTGGCAACAGACTCAACTTTATATTGTTACTGTTCATGATGCAAAATTGTTTTCACATGGTACTGACATCCATTTTTATTGTAGATGTATTTTTATTTTTTCTTAACTGGGGAATACATGTTATTGTTAGTAAATAAGTTTCAGTTCAAGATTACATCACCTTTGGATTTTTTGACTTGTGAAGACTTGAGTGTATCACTAGTTGCTGGTAAAATGTTCTCTTAACTAATTGCCGAGGATGTGAATGTTGCGGGTGTGGGAGCTTTTAAGGGTGCAAGTTTCTAGGGTGTTTGGTTGCATTACAAGTTATAACTTTGTGAAATGTTATTGTGATGATGGTGGTGGTGGTTGCTTTATTCATTTTAACCTCGAAATAACTTCACCCTGCTAGGCCAACATTTAACTCTCTTTGAGGAATTAAGGTTTAACATGCCTAACAAAAAGATTGTCTAACACGGGTAAAAGCTATGTTGCTTGAATGACCACATTGACCATCCTTTACCATGCATGCATGCCTTTTGGCCTCTCCCATACCTCATTATTCTCTGAGATATGTTAACATGAGTTGCTTGCACATTATTGTGTGTTCCTTTATCATGCTCCATGTATTTTGCTAGGAAACTTGCAACTCTGGTGCATGCGATATCTGTCTTGTTCAATATATTATCGGGAGGGAGCCCTATGAGTGTATGATGATTGCCCAGTCACACGTGTGATCTCCAAAAATCAACACTCAACTCTGGTGTCAAGTCTTGTATCTAAGTAGTGTGTAAAGCATTGCATTCCCCACTACCTCCTTTATATCTACCCCATGCCCCAGCCCCCCAAGCGAGATCTTAGCTATGTTTAGCTGGAATCTCTACTGTGTGCACGAGGGAGCAAAGCAGAAGGGATGGGGTGTAAGGGTGGCCTGACTGCAGTTCATTTTGTTATCCATGCTTGTTTCTCGGCATTGATCTTTTTGTCAATTTTGTGAGGTCAATGGTTTATTTGCTGGTCTTAATAATTTGAAACTCAAATGTGTTAATGCAGGAAAAGGGGGCGTGTTGCAGTTTTGAAGGTTTCTTTCCTCTGAAGGATTCTCCAAAGTAGACTTGCAGTGGTGACAAAATTATGATGGAAAAGTTGTTTTCAATGCATGCATTTCTTGTGTTTGTTAATGGAGATGATCTATAGTTCTATTTAACTTTTTTATTGCTTACTCTTTCACAAAAGGTGCTGGA